GCTTCTATTATTCTACTTCATTCTATCTGCTATGAGGCAGTGCGGCGCCTGGAGTCTGACTGAGCTTAACTCATTTCCCTGGATTTCCGAGTCACAGCCATGGTGCCTGCTAAAGCCAAATATCTCACTCCTGAGACTCACTACACTTCCTGATAGGATGCACTTGCCTGTCTACTAGTGACCTTAAACACTAATAAAGGAGTCATAATATGACCTAGACAAGACCTAAGAGCCAATCAGAATGCAAATGATTGATGGGAGTGCTTTTGGTTATCTACTGTTTGTCCTGACGCTTGGCGTGGTTCTTTTTATTAAGATTTTGTGGGTAGGAGGCTTAAAAATACATTACAGGCATTGCTTTCCACATTGTTGAAGGTTAATCCTAAGGTGTGGCAAAGAAACTATATTTTACAGACTGAAACCCTACAGGCACCGGCTAGTTTTTGCTCTTTCTTTTCCTGGCTTGCTGGAAAAATGAGGATAGCACTTTGGAAACAATTCTTAAATGTAATTGTCTCCAACTCCAATTAGAGGAGCGAATTCTCTCATTTGCATTGCTGGCTGCTTTGATCTCTGCTTGCTCTCCCTCAACTGTTGTTATCAAAGTGATTAGCATTTCTGCAGAAGGATCGTGAATTCAACATCCTCTCCTTTCTTCTTTGAGTCTTTTTATATTCCTTCTAAAATAAGTGTTTGGTCAGATTCATCATGTGAACCTATGATTAAAACAGCCACTCAGATTATGAACCACGACCTGGGAGATTGTTGATGCCATTTCTTAATGTTTGCTGGTTGAAACATTTCAGTGTCTTTCAGCTCAAATTCCTCTTTTTTTTGAGGAAGGCTTTTTATATTGCTATTATTCCTGTCCCTGTCAACTTAATACATTTAGATTCAGAAGGTCAACTTATATCAAGCTGTGCAGTGCACTGGCTGCCTGAATGGTAGCTGCCCTTTTGTATTCGGAAAGCATCCACTAAAGAGTCAACCCTCAAGGAGTTCTTGTATAACCTATCCTGGAAATTTTAGTCTTCCATTCTTTGGGAAAAATGGTCTAAGGTGATCTGTCACAGCTATCTAATGCTCCCGCTCCATGAGCAAAAGCAAATAATTTTGGATTCCTCCATGAGGTGTACCAGAGTCAAACTGGAATGCAGCTCCCAGCAGGCGAGGACTGTGCTACAAACACCCCAGCTCCTTCCTTTAGCCCCAGATGGGTTTATTATTTATTGAGCCCTTCATCAACCTATTTATACTTTTATCCTCTATTGCATCTTTGGGTAATGAGCTTTCTATTTTAATGTGTACTATGAGTAAGTTTTTCTTTTATTCTTCTTATCTCTTTCCATTTTGACATGTAAAACTGAATTTGGTAATTGGATGAATAAGTTATGCTACACTATTCATAATAGCAAAGACATGGAATCAACTTAAATGTCCATCAGTGGACAGGATAAAGAAAATGTGGTACATACGTGCCATGGAATACTATGCAGCCACAAGAAAGAACAAGATCATGTCATTTGCAGGAACATGGATGGAGCCGGAGGCCATTATCGTTAGCAAACTAACCCAGGAACAGAAAACCAAATACTGCATGTTCTCACTTTTAAGTGGGAGCTAAATGACAAGAATATATGATTACATAGAGGGCAACAACAGACACTGTGGCCTATTAGGGGGTAGAGGCTGGCAGGAGGGAGAGGATCGGGAAAAATAATAATGGTACTAGGCTTAATACCTGGGCAATGAAACAGTCTGTACAAGAAATATCCTTGGCACGGTTTACCTATGTAACAAACCCATACATGTACCCCTTAAATTTGAACTTAAAAGTCAAATTTTTAAAAAATTACAATTACAGTAAAAAAAATTTTATACAAGAACACTGGTGTGAATATAAAATGAAGAAAAATTAAATGCACACTAGTTAAAACTGCCAATGAATTCCATATAGATTACACATCTCTAAGTCTGTGTTCAAAGACTTCAAATGCCAGGTTTCTCCACATCGTGATACCAGGTAAATTTAGTACAAGCATATATATATCCCAAAACCAACAAATAACACCAGTACCCTTAGAAACAACTGTGAAGCAAGAATAAATCATAAAGGCATTGCCTTATGGTAGCCACGATATTTTGTTGTTGCTACTGTTTAACCTTTTTCCCATCTGCCCCAAGAATTCTCACTGCTCTTGCTGCTGCAGTGTTTTCTTTGAGATAATTTTGCCATGAAATATCTCTCTTTTTTATTATTTTGCATTGCTTTAGTACATTGGCTTTGGAAACAAAAGGCATCATTCTATTTACAGCATTCTGTTTTTAGTAGTGATATTTCCACTACCATGCCAGGTATTTACAAAATATAGTAATTTGCAATAACCGAAATTATCAAATTCTAGAAAACGTGGCATTTTCCACGTGTGGTGTTAACATCATTCTCTAACAGTTGTTGGCCAGAGAGTCATTTGGTGAATCCAGTTTTTCCAAAACTGATGATTCTGATGATTCTGATGCTAGTTCTGTTTAGAAATAACTCCAAGAACAGTTTTTATATTTTATTGTCACATTGAAAATCAGTCAGAATTTGCTTCAGCCTCAAAGAGCATGTTTATGTAAAATTAAATGAGCTATGGCAGTGAGCTGCACTTTTTTTTTTCTAAACCAGAAAAGGATTCACTTGAGAAGACTACAGAAAGTAATAGGAAGCCATAAAAAATATGTAGCCACAATCTTCTCAGACTGATTTTCTTGGGGCCCCAGAATAAATGGATTCTATAAAAAAAAAAAAAAAAAAAAAATTATCCTAAAAGTTCCCATCAAGATTTTATATATTTCTAATGTATTTCTTTTTCATACTCCCATTTCTGTGCTGAAGAATTCCACTTTTTTTTCAGTCTGTCCTATTACATTCTGATTTAACTAACACTTTTGAATCCCACTATGTGCTGGGCACTGGGCACTGGGCACTGTGTTAGATTCTTTCTCAAACAATAATAATAGTAATACCTAACATTTATTATGTGCTTACTGCATCCCAGGATGGTTGAAATGGTTTACAGGAATTGTCTCATTTAATTCTTTCAACTATCCCATGAAGAGTTTTATTTACCTAGAATAACCTTATAGATTTATGTGTGATCCTTACTACGCAGATGACTATGCTAAGCTTCAGAAAACTTTAAGCAGCTTGCTCAAGGCCAAGGACCAAGAATCAAGAACCAAGATTAACAAACATATCCTTTTTTTTTTTTTTTTTTTTTGAGTCAAGATCTTGCTCTGTCATTCAGGCTGGAGTGCAGTGGCTCAATCATGGCCCACTGCAGCCTTGAACTCCTGGACTCAAGGCAATCTCCCACCTCAGCTTCCCAAATAGCTGGGACTACACGCATGTGCTATCATGATCAGCTGAGTTGGTTTTTTTCTGTGTTTGTTTGTTTGTTTGTTTGTTTTGAGATGGAGTTTCGCTCTTGTTGCCCAGGCTGGAGTGTAATGACATGATCTCGGCTCACTGCAACCTCCACCTCCTGAGTTCAAGTGATTCTCCTGCCTTAGCCCCCTGAGTAGCTGGGATTACAGGCTTGTGCCACCATGCCTGGCTAATTTTATATTTTCAGTAGAGACGGGATTTCTCCATGTTGGTCAGGCTGGTCTTGAACTCCTGACCTCAGGTGCTCTGCCCGCCTTGGCCTCCAAAAGTGCTGGGATTATAGGTATAAGCCACCGTGCCCAGCCCCCAGCTGAGTTTTTAAAATATTTTGTAGAGGTAGAGTCTCACTATGTTGTCCAGGCTGGTCTCAAATACCTGGCCTTAGGCTATCCTTTTGCCTCCGCCTCCTGTGTCGCTGCTATTACAGACATGAGCCACATTGCTCCACAATCATATCCTTACCCATATTAGCATTCCCCATCCTTTTTATTGCATAAATCCATAGTAAACTAGTTTTAATTCTTTTGGGTGCTTGCCTCATCTAAATAATTCTTAGAGATCAGTTGTTTCTAATTCATTATATGATTTGTAAAGTAAATATTTGAATTACTCTTCTATCTCTCTGTTGCAGATTGATACCAACACATGAAGAAGTTAACCTGATACAGGTTAATCTGAGTAGAGCACAGTATAATTATAGAAGAGCAGACCCAACCATCAAAATACATAACATGTTATAAACATAGTTGAACTCTCATTAACTAGATAGTTACAAATTCCGTGTTCTACATAAATACTTAATACACAACCAAAGTTAGTACCTCTTGAACTTACTTTAACTCATTTGCTGTGTTTGGTTACTTACACTTTGATTATGGAAATGTTGTGAAATAGTGATTGTCTATTGAAAGGAAATTCTCCATAAAATCTAGAGCAAGAAACGGAAATGAAGTTTTTAAAGTTATTTAACTATGTACATGTTCAATGGGCTTTTCCTTTCACTTTCTTTTAAATTCACACCCATTTCCTTAATCCTTTCTCCCAAAGATTTTTTTTCCGTTCTTTTAATCACCTTTGAATGCCCTCCAAATTCTGTTTCTCTCAAGTTATGAAGCCTAGGAAAGGGCATAATTTACCAACATTGAATCAGACATGGAGACTATCTAAAGGTTCTCACATTCTACTCTTACAATCTAAATTCCCTATATTGTACTTTGAATAAAACACTATAGGGTAACATGAGTTTTGTTGGGGTTTTCTGCACCTTCAGATTAAAATTTACAAATAAATGGTTCTATGGTTTGACTGTGTCCCACAAGTTTCATGTGTTGGAAACTGAATTCCCAATGTGGCAGTCTTGAAAGATGGGACCTTTAAGACGTGATTGGATCATCAGGGCTCTGCCCTCATTAATGGATTAATTTCATTCATGGATTAATGGATTAGTGGGTTAATAGATGAGCGGGTTAACGAATTAGTGGATTATCATGAGAGCGGGACTGGTGGCTTTATAAGAAAAGGAGGAGAGCCCTGAGGTAGCACCCTCAGTGCCCTTGCCATGTGATACCCTGGGCTGCCTCAAGGACTCCTCAGCAATCCCCATCATCAAGAAGGCTCTCAGCAGATGTGGCTCCTCAAACTGGAACTTCTCAGCCTCCATAACTGTAAGAAATAAATGTCATTTAAATAAAAAAATTACCCAGTAGTAGGTATTCCGTTATACGCAACAGAAAATGCACTAATATACATGGTTAGTTTTGTCTTTGAATTAGAACACTTTACCTTGTCCACTTACTTTCAAACTTGGATAGGTTTTGTTTTTGTCTGTTGCTCACTTTAGAGGCATCTGCAAACTTTGTGTTTTCTCTGTTCTTCTATCTAATACTTTCACTTTAAACATGATCTGAGGATCATAACCTGTAGAATAAAACATTTTCCCAGATGCCACAGTGACCTAATAATAATACCTCTCTCTGAGTTTGTAGCCCAATGCTGAAATATAGTTGGTGCAAATTTTCATATGGAAATAACATCCTCCACAAGGCACCATGCCACTTTTTAAAAAAAATTAATAAGCTCCTAACTTAAATTTGATGTCATTTTCAGATGAGAAAATGGGGCTTGATGAAGTTGATTGCTTTAATGATGCAACCAGTCCTGCTGGAACACCTCTCTGTCTGGAGAAAGGAAGGCAGAGACTCTAGAAACATATAACTTGATTCCCACAGCACATATGGGCTGAGGAGGACACTGCGTGTGTCTTGACTTCAGGCAAGGCTGTTCTCTACAGTGGTATCAGCAGACTCATCTCAGAATCTCCAAGAGCTTGTCTTCCTTCAAGAGGCTGATTCAGACACAAGAGTCTAGTCTTGTTTCTGTTTTCTTAAAAGTACACATCAGGAAGAAAACTGTAAGCTATCTTGTAAAAACAACACTGACATGCTCCCTGGTGATTTTTCAGCAGCTATTTGTCCCCCAGATATATTTTTTCACTGGCATTTCACCAGACGTTAATTGAAACGCTAAACTAAATGTTTAGCCATCCTTGCATACATGGGTAATTCATAAACTGATTACAAAATTATAGTGATGAGGGACGACTGAGCCATGATAAATTACAATCATTATTTCAGTCTTGGCTATAAAGATTATTCTAAGGATGATAGAGGTTTCTTATGGATTTTTATTCAGTTACACATAATGAAGTAAAAATGTCTTTTTCGATTTTCAAATATGTTACTGAAGCCAAAATTGGATCTTGTCATTTTTAAGTTTTGTATATGCTTGGTTTCTGTTGTATTGGCTTCAGACTGTGTTTGCTTCATGGAAAGGGTAAGTTTTTTTTGTTTTGTTGTTTTCAGGTAGTGAGGAGTTTAACTATATTTTATTTCCCCCAAAGGTTATTTACCCTGGAAATGAAAATTCTATGTTTCTCCAGCAAAATCTAAGATGCTTACCTCAAAGCAGCTTTTGAGCTTATCTGTATCAGTGCTGTCCTGATTATGCTGCGAGGAGCCTGCGGAGTTCCTTAGAGACACCTCAGGACAGGGGCAAGGAAGAAAGTCAGGACAGGCTGGGATGGGGGAGGATGGAGATGGCTGGTGTAGTTGTGAGGAACTCACCTCTGGTTGAGTTAAGAGGTTTCACTTTTGATCTATGTTACATGTTGGACTTTTACATAAGATTTTATTTGAAGAAAGATCCATGTAGTAACATGAATATTAATAATATTAACTAATAATCAGAAGGACTTGAAATCCAATGATTAAATACCTCAATTTTATAAGTGAGGAAATTGAGCTTCAGAGAGAGTAAATAACTTGTTTAACATAACACAACTAGCACAAATTTGCCTGAATCAATTATTCCTAAAAATTAAAAGGCTATGATCAACTTAACCGATAGTTATCAAAAGCCTACAAAGGAAAAGATGCCAGGCCTCCAAGAAATAAAGAAAACAACATATAGCCCAAGTGTAGAAACATAAAATAATATATTAAAGAAAAAGGGCACTGCAGGTCATCCCATCCAATCTACATGTTTTGGAATTTAGCAGCTTTCTCAAAGCCACACTTCAAGTAAACAGCAGAATCAAAGCATGAATCTGAATCTTCTTACCCCAATTACAGTGCACTTTCCACTAAAACGGTATGCCCTGAATTTGGTTCATGAACACCTAGTCTTTCAGGATGATCTTCCACTTCAAAAATTTAGTTAAATTTTTATTGCATTTTAAAGGGTATGAGAAGTCTTATAGTAAAGAAGTGTGCTTAGACTACAGTTCCAAAATATATTTCCATGCAATACTATTCATGTCATATGTATTACCCCAAAGAACACAATTCGAGAAATTCTGCACTGTCCTCTCCTAGACTTTATTAGATTTGAAACTGAAATCTAGTAGGTTATTCTTTTAAAACCTACATTTCCATGGTTTACATATAACTGTGGCTTGAGAAATGTGATCTCAGTGATAAGTGTAAGACCGGATATACTCTTTATATATAAACACACATATTGTATGTGGATGTTACAGAAAATGCCGTGTCCAAATAAGCGTAAATTAAATGCAATACACCAATTGTTAACACAGCATTGTGTTTGTTTTAAAATCAGTTCACACCTGTTTAATATTTGTCATGAAAATCTCAATGCATTTTTTTATTCCTTCTAAACATAATGCAAGCATTATAATTCACTAGAAATGTTGAATTACTTTTAGTAAAATAAGGATCAATTAATACATCTAGTCCAATTTTCATAAAAGTGACTTTCTACAAAAAGAAAATCTATTTATTTTTCTTATAAAACACACACATCCTGGTGTGTTTTGTTTTGGCCAGAATGCTACATGTAAAAAATAATAAATAGCAAATTTTCCCCCCAAAATTCGTTTTAGGTACACCAAACCAAAATAATGCCATAAACCTTGGAAGAGAACCTGTTCTTGCAAGATATGCAGACCAAGTTTTCAAGATCAAAAGTGTTTACATAAGCTCACAAAATTTTGGATCTTTTCCCAGACTAAATCTCTGACACTTCTGAGGTTGGCCCATCACTAATATTTACAATATATTTGACATCTCGTGGGATGAACTCACAGGCCTTTATGATACGCAGCTTCCTAATATGATGGAATGCCAGAACAATTTGCTGTGTGTGCGAAAGGCAGTAAGATGGCACTGGCGTTTTGCAGCAGGAAGGAAATGATTTGTAGGTACCTTGAGCCTGTTGTATCTTGTCAGTTTTCTTAGTTGAGAAATGTCATTGGGGACCTATTAGTACATAGACAGCCGTGCCGCCCACCTGAGAAGCACTCTTTGCCAAGTGAGACCTACGTTTGGGCAAGGTTCCTTTTCATAGTATTATATTGCATTACGGAAAGCTTACAGAAACAGGCCCTCACGCCTGCTGATTCTTAACCCTTTATAAGGCCTAGCATGATGACTTACATTCATTAGGCCATTATAATAAGATTTTTCAACAAGTTCATGATCTCACCAAATTGGCACATTTAAAATAAAGTATATTCTGAACTCTTTTTTTCACACATCCTTCTAATAACCCATTTATCCACTGTGGTTAATTTTATTTTTTTCCAAAGTCTGGTCATTCCTTACAATGCTTCTGATGACTGCATAATTATTGTACTTTTATTGCCAAGGACAGAAATACTATAAAGCCATAGATGGTTTTTCACCTGCCAAATTAGGATTATCTTCCAACATCTGTATTATTACTTGGTTTCTTTTAAGAGATCCATTTCTCTGGGTTGTGAGGGTTCACACCTGCAATATGCATACTCAAGATTCTGCAATCTTGAAAGTTATTTTGTGAGACTGGGCATAGGAAACTCTATTAGGTATGACAAAAATGGGTGAGATATGGATCCTGCTCTCAGAGAGCTTCAATCTAATTGTAGATTCAAGACAAACACATATACATAGGACGCTACTAATCAATCCCCAGTGAAAGCACTATTGTAGAAGTGGTTCAGATGCTTGTATTGACAAAAAAAAAATAAAGGAGGAGGATTGACGTCTGTATGCTTCCTTCATCAGAGAATATGAGATTCACATGAGCAGAGAGACTATCCCGATTCAACATGCCACCTTCGAAAGCCAAAACCGGGCTCTGCACTGCCCTCAGCCTCTTCCATCCTGCAGTGCTGTGTTCTGAGGCCCATGTGCTTCCTTTTGCTCATCCTAACAGTGCCCATGGCTTTACCCTTTTCTTTTGCTATGCTTCCATAGCCTTGCTCTTTACAGAAATCTGACCTTTCACACCCCAGAGTTCTGCAGCATGATGAGAAAGAGACTGATTTTAAAAAAACAATGGAAGTGAGCACACCCACAAAGATGACTCCAATTGGAGCTCTCTTCCCCCAAGTGATTCCACGTTTATTAATGTGCATGGTAATTTATAACTTACAGTCCTATAACACGGCCTTAGGCTATTTCCAAGGCAGCCCCCAGGAGATTACAAGGCAGCTTTCAGCAGTGAAACATTTAAGGAGGCAAGCAAGAGTTGCCTGAGAGTCCAGCCCTGTCGGAATATGGCCTGCACAGCAAGGCTGCCAGTCGAAGGAAATAATTACAAGTGGCTGCCTAACTGCCATGGCGATAGAAACTTAACCCAAGTGTTTTCAGGTAACTGCCAGCCCTGGGCCTGGCCACCTGCCATGGGCCCCACAGCACACAGCCCTGTGTGAAGTGGGTGTTTTACAGCAAGTGACAGCAACGCAGCTGTTTGCATTAGAACTTAACCTAGGTATGCCAGACAGCTGTGCCAAAGCACGTCCGACTGCTTCATTAATTCAAAAGCAACTGGCATTAAAAAAAAAACCATTTGAACCAGACTGCTGGTTTCAGTTCCTTGTCAAGCACTAGTTACTTAACTCAATTTAATAAAATATTTTTATTTTATTACAAATACCATTATGTGTGTGACACCTGGGAATAAAGAAGGTCCAGGCCCTAATTCAAAGATAGGGACATCTTCCCAACTCTTAAGCAACTCTCTATTATTTAGGGACAGACACACACACACGCACACACACACACACACACACACACATACAAATATCATAATTCAATGATAGGTACAAAAATAGAAATAAATATAAGCTAAATAGTGATACAGAAGAGAGATTGGTTACTTTT